ATACGTACATACATGCACAATGCGAGTGCGTCGTTATATGTATGTCCACGCATGTATGCAGAGTATTGTGTTCTTCATGTGTGCCAAGCCGAACAGTTCTATGTGTGCATGAGAACCGGCATTTTGCCAAATGCATGTATGAGTGCACATGAAGCTCTGTTTTTTGATAATCATGAAGGTATATATATATATACGGAGAGAGAGAGAGAGAGAGAGAGAGAGAGAGAGAGAGAGAGAGAGAGAGAGAGAGAGAGAGAGAGAGAGAAAAAAAAAAAAAAACAGAGAAAGAGAGAGAGAGAGAGATAGAGAGACAGAGAGCGAGAGAGAGAGAGAGAGAGAGATAGAGAGTCAGAGAGCGAGACAGAGAGAGAGAGAGAGAGAGTCAGAGTCAGAGTCAGAGTCAGAGTCAGAGTCAGAGTCAGAGTCAGAGTCAGAGTCAGAGTCAGAGTCAGAGTCAGACTCAGAGTCAGAGTCAGAGTCAGAGTCAGAGTCAGAGTCAGAGACAGAGTCAGAGTCAGAGAGCGAGACAGAGAGAGAGAGAGAGAGAGAGAGAGAGAGAGAGAGAGAGAGAGAGAGAGAGAGAGAGAGAGAGAGAGAGAGAGAGAGAGAGCGAAAAAATAACAGAGAAAGAGAGAGAGAGAGAGAGAGAGAGATACAAAAAAACCACAGAGAAAGAGAGAGAGAGAGAGAGTCAGAGAGCGAGACAGAGAGAGAGAGAGCGAGAGAGAGACAGAGAGAGGGAAAGGAAGAGAGAGCAATAAAGAGAGAGTAAGAAAGAAAGAGAGACTAAGAAGGAGACAAAGGAAGAGAGAAAGAATCAAAGAGAAATTGAGAGAGAGAAAGAGAGAAAGAGAGCGAGTGTGTGTGTGTGTGTGTAAGCGTGTGTGAGCGTGTGTGAGCGTGTGTGAGTGTGCGTGTGTGTGAGAGAGAGAGAGAGAGAGAGAGAGAGAGTCAGAGAGCGAGACAGAGAGAGAGAGAGCGAGAGAGAGACAGAGAGAGGGAAAGGAAGAGAGAGCAATAAAGAGAGAGTAAGAAAGAAAGAGAGACTAAGAAGGAGACAAAGGAAGAGAGAAAGAATCAAAGAGAAATTGAGAGAGAGAAAGAGAGAAAGAGAGCGAGTGTGTGTGTGTGTGTGTAAGCGTGTGTGAGCATGTGTGAGCGTGTGTGAGTGTGCGTGTGTGTGAAAAAAAAAAGAGAGTCAGAGAGCGAGAGAGAGCGAGAGCGAGAGCGAGAGCGAGAGCGAGAGCGAGAGCGAGAGAGAGAGCGAGAGCGAGAGAGAGAGAGAGAGAGTGTCAGTGCGTGAATGGGTGAGTGTGCGAATCTGTGAGCCTGTGAGCCTGTGAGTCTGTGAGTGTGTGAGTGTGTGAGTGTGCGTGAGTGTGCATGTGTGTGCTTTGTATGCATATGTGTGTAGCTAGAGTCTGCATATCTCTTGCTTTCTCTCTCACTCTCTCTCCCTCCCGTGTCCCCCTCCTCCCACCCCGTCTCCTTGTCATGGGCAGCAAATGCAAATGCAGCAGATAAGAACACGCCCTCATCCAGGAGCGGACCAGGACCGAACGAAGTTCCTGGCTTCAGATCTACGATTGAAGGCTCAGGGGTTTGGTGTCCAGACGCGGTGTCTGGGGTTCAGGACTCAGAGTTGACATTGAGGCTTGGCAGGTTGTGGGTGTGGGTTTTACCTCCAGCGGCCGACATCCTCGACCTTAAACCCCGAGCTGCAATACGCCTTAAGCCTCAGAGGAGCCTTGAACCGCAAACCCGTAAAGTTTCCATCTCAACCCGAACCCCGAAACCACACAACACCCCTCTTAAGTCCTTTTGAAACGCCTGGTACAACCACTGAAAATCCCGTCAGATCCTTCACGATCCCTTTTCTGCTCCTCGTGGACCCTCAGCTGCACCGCAGGATCCGGCTGCTTCTCCTGCAGTCTAGTCAACGATACCTCGAACTGTAAAGACCTGCAATATCATTAGCAACATCCAAATACGACTGTATTACGATATCCACTCAAAAGATCCTTCGAAATTGTGAACTGCCTGTGGGCTTCGGGGGATACGCTTGCAGATACATTGCTGCGTGCTTCTAGAGTATATACTTGTTCAGGTGATTGAATGGAAGGGTTGCAACGTTAACCACGAATCCGCAAAAGCCGTTGCCACCAACAGTAATCCCGAAACCCTCAACCCAACACCCAACATTCTGTACCTGCCCGAAGGTACTTGGCCTGCACTTTGGAGCGCGTCCCTGCCAGCCACCTGGGCCCAGAGCTTAAGGCTTAAGGTTGGAAGCACGGTGCTAAGAGTTAGGAAGCCTGGGGCTCAAACAAAGTTTAGGGGGTGGTAATGTTGAGAATTTAGGTCATCGGAATACCATGATTCTGATATCCATGATGGCTGCAATGAGTATACAGTATACACTTCGATGGCAGTCTTGCCAACATAACTGTTGTTACTTCGTGCCTCCTGCTGATTACCAGTGTTTGCAGTCGTCGCCGTCGATGCGAGCGGGACATGGCAGATTGTGAAAAGGTGCTGCTTCTTTGAGCTGCTGTAACAGTCGATGATCACCGATGAGTCAGTTTCAGAAAAGAAGGGGCGCTTAACAGGAACCTCGAAGAATAGGATCCTTATTGTAAGGACCCCTAAGTACGGTACCCCTAGTTTCTGCAATCCCAGTCTTGGTCTTGGTCACAAACACCGTAAAATCCTTACCACGCTGATTCGACAGTGCCATTGTTTAATTCTTGAGACCCTGATTTGAAAACCCTATGAAATCCTGACGTTACAAAAGAGTCTCCACATCCTACAAAACTCGACACCTCAACCCCTAAACTCTTCCAAACCCATTCTGAATCTTACGGCCCTTGTCTAATCATCTGGATCGAGTGTCGCGAGGCCCGGAGGAAGACAGTGCCGCGTCAGCAGCCAGTGGCAGCCGACGCAAGCAAAGAGCAGAAAAAACCTTAGGCTAAAGGTTTTGTCGTGTTGTTTGCTTTCGGGTTTGTTGGGGGTTTAGGGAGGCGTGAAGGTTGGGGGTTGGGTTTAAGGCGTAAGGTTTTGCCTCTGGGGTTGAAGGGTGTCCCTACACTGCGGACTCAGGTACTACGACAAGGGGTTTATCTGTAGTTTGAGTGGATGATTTTGTGCGTGTGTGTATATATATATATATATATGTATATGTGCATCACATATATATATATATATATATAAACTACACAATACAGATTCGTACATACACACACAGCTAGCAGCTAGAGATATGATTTGCGACTAGTGAAACCGGGGCTGCTTGAGCATCCACTTGCACCATGCACGAACCGAGCTCGACTCGGTAGTATCGTCAGAGGCTTGAAACTGTATCTCCTAAAAACGTTAAACACGGTGATTTGGCTTCTGCCTGCTTCCATCCTTCTGCGAACCTATCAGGCTGTTTTTCTTGGTGTTTGAAGTGATATTGTAGAATATTACTACACCTGCGTGCTGAAGAAATGCACCTCGAATAAGCTCAGCACTGACGCGGACGTGTGCTTAGCACGTTTTCGTTCTTCCACTCCGAACACTTATCACAATTCCTTCATGAAAAGTCCACTCCAGCCTTTTCACTGGAACAACTTTGATGTCGTACCTCTATCCATCTAAAAAACGACAACCCTGGTTGCGGAACTCACAGCACCCTTACAGTAGCCGTTATAAAAGCCTTCGAGTAAACCCCGATAGAACCCCCTTATAGCAGCCCTTAACATAACCTTATACAAGACTTATCCAAAAGCAGCATCAGGCACGCTGGAGATGCCGGAGCTGGGGCAGAGGCAGCAAGTTCGACGAGCACGTCCATGGCACTGAACTTTACTTCGTAGGAAATAAGCGAACAACGGTTACAAAATTAAAAGCGTACGTCGCAGGATCCCTGATCTCAGGGTCCTTTCTACGTTCTGGAGGCCACTGCTTTTCGCTGTCTTTGCTACGAGCCTTCCATAGTCTCCTATACAACATTACAAATGCTTTTTGGCACACTAGAAGACCCCAGAAAACCCTTCAAAAAATGCTTAAAGTCTGGAGAGCCTACTAATGGACAAGGACGAGGCGAAGAGTCTCGCGCTTCCGACGAGACTGAAGGGCCGAGGGTTTGAGGATTGCAGGGGTTCGTCTCAGGATTTTGAGGTCCTGCGCTTAGACTAAAAGGTTGATGGAACTTGCTCGGCTGGCTCGTGTCCCCTTTATAACCTTCGTTTAGGTTTTCTGCTTTGAAATCTTTAAAATGACCGTACCCCCTTATAGTTCTTATATGCTGTGGTCTATGCCACAACCCTGCTCTCATTGTCCTTCTGCTTTAGGATTCGTCTCGGGGCCGAAGCTGACAAAAAAAATCCAAGAGGAACGGATGCAAGGCTTGAGGTTTGTGAGATTCCGGAAATTGGGGGGTACCTTATTTTGGGGTCCTTAAAAAAAGGATCCTAATTTAGGGTTACTATACTAGGGTCCCCTCTTTCCGGGAACTCCCATTTAGGGTTATGAGATCTGTGCAGATCTCGCTGAACGTTTAAAGACTCGTCTTGTGGGCCGACTGCTCACTTGGAAGACAATATGGGTGCCGTCATTAACAAGTAGAATACCGTTTGAGATACTGTGTGATATCTTATACTAACCATGACGGGATATCATGAAACATCTTCAGACCCCTTTTTGTAGGACTTGGCCGAATTGCATTATAGTTTAAACTTCTGACTGACTTACTAAGCCCCCCCCTGTCCTCCAGCAACCAGAACCGTCGCCAATCCCACTGAAATTCCGGAGTCTTGCGATCTGAAGGGTTGCAGGGCTCAGGAGCCAACTTCCCGGCTTTAGTTCTTTGCGATTGAGGGTTAGCAGGCCTAGGGTGCAGGGTTTCGGGCTTGGGGCTTAGGGTTAAGCGTTTGGGGTTTAGGCTCTACGGTTTAAGCGAGCGTTGAAGCTTCGCAAGCAGCAGCTTAGCTCAAGTCCAAAAGATGGCGACCAGCCTAGCAGGCAGCACGGAACGATGATCTGGTCTATGAGTTCCATGACTCTGCCTTCCAGCACAGGAGCCCACCACTTACAAAACACGGAAGCGTGAAGCAGAAGACACAAGGAATCTTGGGGTTTGGAGCTTCAAGGTTCGAGATTTTGGGGTGTTTGGTTGAGGATTTCAGGGTTTACGGGTGATAGATGGATAGGCAGACAAACACACACACACACACGGATGGACGGACGGACGGGAGAATGGATGGACGCATAAACAGCTACACGCATGGACAGACAAACACACTGACTGAGGGATAGACATAAACGGATGGGTAAAGTGAGAGAACATGCAGGTCTACACCGAGATATTTCAACTTCTGTAGATGATCCAAGCACTTTCCGCTGGGTTCGAGCGAAAAGGCATGATGGATCTAAGGTTTAAGGTGTAAGGTGGAAATAGGGTTTAACCGCAACCTTCTTGGTCACTGCCAGCTTTCATCGTTTCGTCGAACCCTACACAGCTAACCGTTCCGACCCAATATATTCAATCTGGACTTGATGGGATTGCGCCTGCAGAGCAACACGACAAACCTACAGCAAACGCCCCACCAACACGGAAAAACCTAAAACAATACACCCTACCGCAAATGACCCTTAGTTTCATCTACCCCCGCTTGGCCAACTAGACTAAGGTTTGGACGCATTTGATGGTGTAAAGCTTACCGCAACGACGTTACCAATTCAGACCCAACACGGGCTGGCCTTCGAAATCAGGCGGCGCACGGGCAAACTTCTATCGTCTTCTGCACACTTCTAGCCGAGATGTCTGCAAGTCGGTTTCAAGCTTTGGTGGTGCAAATCATCAAAAAATCCCTTACGGCTTGCACCCGAATGTCTACACTCCTTGCCATGCTGTAAAAGCCTTGCTCGCTGTGGAAGAGTTAAGCTGTTAGGCCGCCAGTTGGATTCGAAAAGTTTGACTTCGTGAAGCTTAGCAGCAAGTCACGTGTACGCATCTGACCACATTGGTGCGGAGCTTGAGTGTATGCACCAACACCGCACTTCACCGAGATTACGAGAAACATGGCCAAAGTACTCAAGAAGGGTAAGCCAAACTGGAAACAACAAAAACAGAAGTTGTAAGTATGTTCTCAGGGACAGCAGCATCAGTCCCTCCTTGAAATTTTTTTTTGGCGTGGGCGGGCCTCAAAGACAGCAGTTGCTGCACTCGGTCCCAGTAAGAACTACAAGAAAACAATAAAGAGCTGTACAAGAAGAATCAGGTGAAGGTGAAACCGGCCGCGACTTGCAGACTTAGCCAGCAGGGATCGTTCGGCCTAAAATGCGTGAAGCCCATCTTCACTCAGGTGTCTCGCTTCCCAATGACTGAGCCGCATAAAAGCACACATGAACATCTAGTCAATTTGGCAGCAAGGACGGCCTCAAATGGTCCGTTGTACTCGGCACGAACCCGGAGGGGGCACGCGATGGTAAGAGTGGCCATGACGGAGCATACAGTGTACAAGCATCCATAAAGCAACATGTCCCAGTGGCAAATGCGTTAGAAAATTAAATGGCCCAGCTTCCCAACATGGTGGGTCTCGCAAGGGCAGACGCACAATTCACACCAGGGAGCATGCCGCTGCATTGTACCCGCCGTGCTGAGCCATCGGCTGTGTGCTAGCTCCGGAACACAGGTAGAAAATCCTTTGGGGCCCGCGACGGAGTTTCCCAGGAGAGCAAGCACGCCAGAAAGGTGAGGCACTGGGTTGGAGTCGCCCAAGACAGAGCACGCCGGTGCTGCCAACCAGCAAACATAATCACTTTGATCATCTTTGATCCAAGCCCAGCTTCCCACCATGGTGGGTCTCGCAAGGGCAGCACAATACGAGCGCAATGCAGCTAACAATGCAGCTTGGTACATGCCATGCTGGCCAACCAGCCACGTCTTGGCCCCGCTCGTACCGCAGGCCCAGCTTCCCTCGCGTGGGTATCGCAAGGGCCAAAGATAAAAACAGGCGGGGGCACACAGAGCTTCCCCCCCAGAGAAGGGAAGGGGCCGATTATTGCAAAATTGCCCACGCCCAGCTTCCCAACATGGCGGGCCTCGCAAGGGCACGGGCTAAACGGGCGAGGTAGTGTGGGACGCAAACCGGTAGCGGAGATCGCAGACGTGTAAGCGGGAGATCGACCAACGGCTCCATGGAGAAGTAAGGCAGTCCCCCCAGCCCAGGCCATCCGACAGCCCAGGGCTGCATGTCAATTAGTGCAGACTGGATGGCCGCAGCGGAAGAAGTCCGAGCCCTCGTAAAGCCCAAGTACCGTCCTATAGGCGAGGCGGGACGCCGAAGCGAGCACCACTAAAGCCTCAAGATCGATCTGGACAATGGTGGGGCGCACTTGAAAGCCAAGCCGCACGATCAATTGGAAATCGGTCGCAACCCTGAAGCTATAGAGAGTGCGCTGCGCCAAGTATGCAGAGACACGGCTGTGATACTCTGCAAACTGTTGCCGAAGAGCGAGGCCCGCAGCCTTTCGCTCCTGCGTACCAATGGGGCAAAGCAACTGCCGAGTGGCAGCCGATGGCGGGGCTCCAAAGAGCACCGGCATCGAATGCACCGACACGTACGTGACGATTGGCACCACAAGATTCTCCGGAATCGTGGCCATCAAGTGTACGTTGACAGGCACGCCGCGACGTAGAAGCCATTCAAGGAGGGCCACGAAGTGGATTTGCAAGATGGTAACTCGCATGGAATCCGAGTCGAACGATCATTTGAAAGATCGTCTCGACCCAGACTCGCCACAGTGCGCTGCGCCAGGGAGGCAGAAACACGATTTTGATACCCAGCCAGCTGCCGCTGCAGGGCCAGCTCAGCTGCCCGTCGTTCATGCAGGTCCGTCATGGACAGCAGGTGCCCGACAGCGTTTGATGGGGAGGCACCAAAAATCAACTGTAGGTCATGCCCAGAGAGATCCTGGAGGGCTTGAACCATGAGATCGGGAAGCGCGGCCATTGCTAGTCAGGTGCGCATCGAGCCCAAATGTTGTGGCAATACAGTGGTACAAGGAATGCTTGGACGCACCGCTTCCTCACTCGTCCGAGTGCGCTAAACATCCAGGACCACGACTACTGTCGTTTGGCTCAAGACACGTGAGACCAGCAGTGAGCTGCGCGTGCTAAAAGTGTGAACTGTCCGAGTGTTTTGTGAGCTTGCTTTGCTTGCAAGGGTGCTTGGAACCTGTTTGCCTTGAACCTGAAGAGCTGTACGCCTTCTAGGTTTTTTAACGCTTCGGGCATGGCGACACCGTTGGGTTCGAAGCTTCTTTCTGTTCGGCATGTTGATATTGAGTCCAAGGTCTTCCTCAGGTGCCATTGACATAGAAAAGACCCTTCGCTGGAAGACAATGCAGCACATGCCGTGCCGGTTTTTTTTGGCTTGAGCGGGCCTCGTCGACTACAGCTGTAGCACTCGGTCCCTACAAACAAACAAACCAACAAACAAACCAAAACAGCGATGAAACAAGGCGGCTAATTAACAGAGGTCGACAGCTAGCTGCGGCGCACAGGCTTTGCCGGTGTTGGCCGTTCAGCACAAGCTACGGTGCCTCAGCGACCGATCCACAACAACCGTGGGCCGTCGCCCAGAGCTGTCCAAAACCATCGGTGGAGACCAAGTCAAAGCTCCGGCTGCCGTTCTAGTTCCGTCGAACAACGGACAGCCCCGAGGTCTTGTTGTGTCACGATCGTGCACGGAAAATCCACAAGTCCACGGAGCCGACAACCAGTGGCGGGTGCCAGATCAAAAGACCCTTCGACGTATGTCGAATGTCATGGACAGTGGAACTGGGGCCAGCTTCCTTAACGGGCTCGCTCCGATGTAGACGGGGGCCATTGATCCAGCAGGCGCTGCATGTCGCTGCCACCGGTCGGGAAGTGAGATTCCCGCAGGAGGTGCAGCAGTTGATACTGGCCTTCAGTATACAAGGTCTTGAGGCGGTAAAAACCATACTGAAGCGTGTCTGTGTCAGGCTCATGAAGATGAGGCATGAGCTCCTCGGTAGTGAAGGGAAGCTGAATGCCCGGGCCAATGCCACCCTGCTCCATGAAAGTCTGAGCCGCTGCTCGCCAGCTGTCCTGTCCCCAAGGGTGGCCGAGCCGGTACCGTGGACGGCTACCTCGGGCATAGCATCCTGATTGGACTCTTGTGCCACCAAGCGGTGGATTAGAACTTGGGCCCTGCAGTCGCATGCATCGAAGAGGGCAAAGCGCCACAGGCGTGCTGGGAAGTAGAAGTCCATTTTTCGAGGGCCGCGCAACCAGAACACAACAACATTACTGAGCTGAGCTCCCAACCGGAGGTGGTGGCAGCTGTGCGAAGGCGAGTCAGGGCGGCATGCAAGAGCCCAGCAGACTGGATGGGGAGCGTAGGCTGTGCTTGCAAACCCAGAGAGGAATCATCTAACGGAAGCAAGAGTCGAAAGGTGCCTTTATAGACACCTGGGTACGAAAACGTTTGAGGGTCGAAATCCCCGCGTCTAGCTGGGAGAAGTCCACGATGGAAGCCTTCCATCATGCGGGCAGCGATTGCGATTTGGGGCTGGCCTACAAGAGAGGCCGGCACCTCCGCCTTGATTCTAATCTCCACAAACCGCAAGCCATTGTGCTCGACGGGAGCGACCTTTGCGAGCTGCAGGAGGGAAGCCGCATCGGGCTCGTCGGTCAGGGCCCTGGTTAAATAGAACACCAACTGCACCGGGAGCAGGACACCGCAATGAAGAAGGGGGGGTACCCTGCTGCGGATCGGTGCTCGAGTTCCCCCCTGCCGTGGGTCGCTGAGTGTTGGAGCCGACGCCACGGTGGCGTTTGCCTGTTTCAGTGGGCCCTCTCCTAGGCGCGAGGGACATTTGGATGAGGCTACCGTCACGGACGGGTGACTTGATGCCTGCCTTGGCATTCGGGAGCGAGAACCGGAGTCCATCCAGTTCATCCAAGAGCAACCACCACCAAATTTCCGGACGCGCCAACTCATACCACGATAATCAAAGACTCGGCCCTC